GTAAAAACAACGTCAGCCATCTCAAAAACATAACAGGACAGCCAACTCTTCTAAGATCAGAAATTAGATTTTTGTATGCCAGACTATTTTCATATAAGGGGTATTTAATTTTTATCTTATCTAAGAGATAGGGTCTCACTCTACCACCCAAGCTGGAAGGCAATGGTGTGATCATAGCTTACTGCAGCCTCAAACTCCTGGGCTTAAGCAATCTTCCATATCGTTTCCCAAAGTGCTGGGATTACAGGTGTAAGCCAGTGCATCCAGACATGTTTTCTAAGATTATTTCCTGTTTCTTCTGATTTAATAGTTTTATAATATTTTTTGAAAGTTTCTGCCTTTGTCAGATGTAGAAAGGGAAAGCATTTATTTAGGGCCACACTTGGGACAGAACTCTGGTTGAGGAGTGGGTAGCACATGCCCTGGAATCCAATAGTGGCTTCAGTGAGGAATACTCAGGGGGCATTAGAACCAAGAGAGTCAAACTGGGCTGTTCATCCCTGGATATACTCCCCTTGCAGATAGCCCAGAGAGTCCATTTGTTTTACAGAAAATAATTTCCTTCTCCCTCTGCACAAAGCTTGCCTGCCCTACATCAGGACCTCCAATGTGCCATGTGCCTACCTGAAAATACACTCTCCTCACCTCCAATTACATTCTAATCCTGGCCCTCCTTCAAAACTAAGTCCATCTGGCTTTACAAGCCCCAAATTATTTCATAATAAATCCTAGTGTAGACACCACTTGCAAATAATAAATTCCATTAAAACAAAAGTATACACAAATGTTCCATTTCTTTTTTACATACCAAAACACAGTTATCAAATCTTCTATGTGTGTCTGTGTTCTGATTTAGGATAACCCATTAAGGAATGGTTATCCACAAACACTACCCCAGTATATTACTGATTCTGAGCATGGGTTCTCTTACCCAAAGAATCTTCCAAAGACTGACCTTTCTGAGTTTGGAAAAGGCAGGACTGCCGTCACACAGGTAAGATACAGAGTCTCCACCTGCTAACCCTGAGCATTTTACAGTTCACCATTAAAGAGCCCCCAGCTGCATTTAAGACAAGAACTATTTCACAGCCAAAGAATTAAGAGGCCTGAAATGATTCCCATCACCATATAACTGTAATCACAAGTGCAGCCCCATTTTCTGTTTACTATCCCAAGGTCCCAGCTCCCAGGCAGTCACAAGAAAACCCTCAACTGACACCAAGAGATCACATTTTTTGTAAACAGAGGCAAAGGACATTCGAGATATCCCCCTTCTTCTTTCAGCCTCACCATTCATGCAAGGTCTTGACAATATTATTGATATCCTTCTTTCGGATGTCACGGCCAATGCAGAAATCCACTTCTAGCAGCTGGTTTCTCTGGTCCAGCTTGCCCTGGATGATGTCAGTGTAGACAGCCTCAATGATGAGGTCTTCTAGTTCCCGGAGATTCCGCATCTCCAGGTCCTTCAGCAGCACGGAGTAGGGGATACACTGTAGATAAGGCCATGTGATAGTTATAAAAACCATCTGGCAAGCATTAATGAAAATGCAGGCATTACCCACAAAGCCAACAGCTGCCTCTGGCTTGGAACATGCAGGCTAGTGGTAATTATTAATATCTAGGGCAAAAAAAGATGGATAAATGAACAGTGAGAACTCTGAGACCCAAATAAGACCCCATAGCATATAAGAAAGCATCCTCATAGTTCTCTGTCTCCTAAACTTTACCCAGCCTTCAGCTTTCACATGCTGGAGCATATGCAGAGATTCTAAAGACTCCTTCCAGAGGAGAAAAAAGGAAATACTCAGTATATGCCACTCTGCCACCTTCTGGAAGCTTATAGACTTTGCATAAAATGCCAAATCATAAACCTCTAACAGATCCCAGACACCAGAGGAGAGAACTGGCTGTTTATCCAGCAGAGTGCAAGCAAAAATCTTCCAGGCTGGCATTTCCACTTACAGGTGGCTGGTGGGAAGCGCTAGCTCTCAGGCCATCCTGAAGTTTGCATTTGTTTTCTCACTCTTGCAACCAATGAGAATTCCCCTGCTATGGTCCTTTACTGGGCTGTACCAACATTCTGCATGACTCCAAGACAAAAGAACATCTAAATACACAGTCCTCTGACATATGACTACTAGTTTGGAAATTAAGAGTGAACAAATCTGCAGGGACAGGAGAAAGATATATTCAGGGAAGAGAATAATAGCAAATATACCCAGAAGGGTTTTCTATGGCTAAAGGTGTGATATCCAGGAGTAGTAGGTGGACTTACAATGACTAGTTACAGGAATGAAGAAAAAGGTCCCTCCTACTCTTTACACTTGAGAAGTCCATAATCAGGACAAGAAAAAGCTCAGTTCCTCATTTCCCAACAAAATAGGCCTCCTACCTGAAATGCCAGGCTGAGAATCAGAAATTAATGATTCGATCATGCAAAACGATTTTAGCAATTGAAATGGCAATCCAAGAATATATATTTTCAAGCTGTATCACAGAGGGGAAATATAAAAATCAAACTTTTTCAAAGGCATAGTCCCACTAAAACTTGAGATACTTAGGCTGGGGTTAGGCAATTTAACCAAATCTTTGTTATTAATGACTGTGAGCAGCTAACTGCAAGGCTGCTTCTAAATCAATAGGAGCAAAGAACTTGGAGATACAGTGGAGTGGCTGGGATCTCACAGAAGGTAAGGGTCTAAAGTTAGCATACAGGCAAAAATTCCAATTAGAGAGTAATTAACCTTTAAAATCCCAGAGAAATGGCTCAGCACCTGTGGCTCAAGCAGCTAAGGCGCCAGCCACATACACCTAAGGTGGTGGGTTCGAATCCAGCCCAGGCCCACCAAAGCAACAATGACGGCTGCAACCAAAAATTAGCTGGGCATTGTGGCGGGCGCCTGTGGTCCCAGCTACTTGGGAGGCTAAGGCAGGAGACTCATTTGAGCCCAGGAGTTGGAAGTTGCTGTGAGCTGTGATGCCAAGGCACTCTACCCAGGGGGATAGCTTGAGGCTCTGTCTCAAAATAAAAAATCCCAGAGAAATGAAGCCTGTGGCTCAAGAAGTAGGGCACCAGCCCCATGTACTGGCGGTGGCAGGTTCAAACCCAGCCCTGGCCAAAAACTGCAAAAAAAAAGAAACAAAAAAATCTACCTCTCAGTTAAGTCCAATATCACTAATTTTTCTTCCAGCATGGGCACAGTTCACTGCACACTGAGCAATGGATGAAGTTATTAACTTGCCTTGAGACACCTTACTGTTTGAAAAATGTGGATCTGGCTGGGCTTAGTGCTCATGCCTGTAATCCTAGCACTCTGGGAGGCCAAGGCAGGTGGATTGCTTGAGCTTAAGAGTTTGAGACCAGACTGAGCAAGAGGGAGACCCTGCTTCTAAAAATAACCAGGCGTTGTGGCAGGCGCCTATAGTCTCAGCTACTTGGGAAGCTGAAACAAGAGAATCAGTTGAGCCCAAGAGTTTGAGGTTGCTGTGAGCTATGACACCACAACACTCTACCCAGAGTGACAAAGTGACATTCTGTCTCAAAAGAAAAGAAAAATGTGGATCTATGAACAACAGTCTCCCCTTAGCCAGGCAAGTGCTCACAACAGAAGGAGCACCATGACATGACAGAACTAAGACCTGCTGATGGATAATCACTGTGGGGCATAATTTTCCCTAAGGAATGGAAGTAATTGTCTGCACCGTTTTACTTATCTTTCCCTCTTTTTTCCTTTGCCAGACAAATACTACATATTTATAATATGATTCTACTATTTATTGCTAGGAGTTCCCTCATTGATGCCAATGAGACACTTGACTCAGGGTGAGGAGGAAAATAGGAAGGAGTTCAGGGCCATACCTTCATTCTTGATGCCAAGCTCACGATGGTAAGATGTTTCAGCTTGTTCTGCTGAGCTATGCTCAGTTCTGGCAGGCTCTCCTTGTTGGCTGCTTAGTCCCACCCACCACAAAAATCAAGATACAAAATAAAATTAGGATTTCTTTTATGGAACAAGCTCACCAACTTCCCAAACCAATCTACTACTGAATCACTGTCATGACTCTGCACTTATTCACCGGACAAATAGTCTGTGAGCACCTGCTGTCTTCTTTGGAAGACCCTGTATTTCCAAAGATGAAGAGACTCAGTCTCTACAAACAAGAAGTTTAGTTTCTAGAAAAGCCAGGCATGAATTTAAAAAATGATAACACAATTACCTTAAAGAGTACTACCTGTGTCCCTTGTGACATTCAATTAAGTGAGACCCCACATCTACAAAAAATTTAAAAATTAGCTGGGCATGGTGGTGTGTGCCTATAGTTCCAGCTACTCCAGAGGCTGAGGCAGGAGGATCATTTGAGCCCAGAAGTTGGAGGTTGCAGTTAAATATGATACCACTACACACTCTAGCCTGGATGACAAAGGGAGACCAATTCTTAAAAAAATAAAAAAGAAAATAAAAAAAGAAAAAGAAAAAAAATGAATGTGATGTGCTTTGTCAGGCTGCTGTACTGCACAACTACAAGGGAACTAACCACCTGGAGCTATGCAACTCAATCACCCTGGACTTGTCCTCATTCTTACAATCAGATGTTTCAATAGCCACAAATGCAAGGCAGAACTACCAGAAGAAGAGCACAAATTACCGGTTGGAGAAGAGGAAAGGTGGGAAGAGGGAGGAGGATAAGGGGGAGAAGGAAAAGGTGGGGAGAGAGAAAAAAAGTACAGTCTTATTTGGGAGGTATAGGAAATGAAAAGACATTATGGAGGAGATGGAGTTTGAGATGAGCCTTGAGGAACAGGCAAAATTTTAGCAATAACAATAATGATAACAGCAGGGGCAGCAGCTTCAGGTAACATATACAGTGAGCTTTACGGTGCACATACAGATTACAGATCCACATGTACAAACACAATCCAATTAATCTTCACAACAACCCCACGAGGTAGATTTCAAGTGTCCTCAATCCCTTAACTATAATTCTGGATTGTAAAAAGTTGAATCCAAACTGACTGTTTTTTCTTAAGCTGAAATTCATCTAGTAGCAATTCCTGAACCGAACTGAGGCAGGCTTTTTATCCTGCTGGTTGTGAAGATTCACTTGTTTTGCAGCAAAATTATGAATATGTTTAAGTATATATGCTGCCCACACCCCTCTGGGGATGTTACATAAAAAAGCTTATGAATCATATTACCTTTTTAAAGTCACCAAAACTTAAATTCTGAAACATCCAGCCTCAAGGAGTAGAGATAAGGATAACAGACTTGTACTATCTATAAACTAGGACTTACTGTTCCCATTTTACAGATAAGGAAACTGAGGACATAAGATTATTTAATTTGCCAAAGGACAGATAAAGGGTAGAAGGGAGCTAGGATATAAATGCATGCATTCTGGTTCCAGAGTCTGTGCAATGTTGCCTGTTTAGTAAGTGAGGATAGAAACAGAGGAGACAGACATTTATTGAAATAAAGCAAAGGTCAGAAAAAACATGTATGAGGAAGGGGCAAACTGTCCAGTCTGACAGCAGTATAGAATAAGTAGAAGTGACCAGTGAGAAGTCAGGGATATAGCAAGGAATCCCCTGAGTATCAGGCTACTGTCATACCACTACCAAAAAAACTAAGGAAGACAGGAAAAAAATGGTTTGGTGGAAGTTAATGTTTGGACATTCAAGTACCTCATTCCTGATATGTAAGACTATAATTTAAAATGACTCAAATGCCTACAAAACAGGGCATTTTAATCTTATAAGATTTAAAATACAGATAAATGGGCCAGGTGCAGTGGCTCATGCCTGTAATCTTAGCACTCTGGGAGACCAAGTAGGGTGGATTGCTTGAGTTAAGGAGTTCGAGAACAGCCTGAGCAAGAGCAAGACCCCATCTCTACTAAAAACAGAAAAAACTAGCTGGGCATAGTGGTGCTCACCTATAGTCCCTGCTACTTGAGAGACTAAGACAAGAGGATTGCTTAAGCCCAAGAGTTTAAGGTTGCTGGGAGCTATGACGCCATGACACTCTACCCAGGGTGACAGAGTGAGACTCTGTCTCAAAAAATAAATAAAATTTGAATAAATGCTTATGAAATCAATGGGGAAAAAGTAAGACATAAAGACAAGTAATCTAATTATATTTCCCCTAATGCTGGGGAAAATATGTCCAGCATTCTAAAGCTAACAGTACACCTATGTACTAATGGGGGTACACCTATGTACTAAATCTATTTTCCAAAATTTCTTTAACACACTGGTATTATTTTGACAATATTTAAAGCACTGAAGTATTTTACAAGTGGGTATTTTGACACTTCACAGCCCTCTAAGTGCCCTACAAACACCAGTCCTCAAGAATCTGATCTGAGTTAGGCATGATCTCAGCTACTCAGGACACAGAAGCAGAAGAATCATTTGAGGCTGCAGTGAGCTATGACAGCACCACTGCACTCCATGCAAGACCCCATCTCTAAATAAAAATTAAGGCTTGGGACCTGTAACTCAGCAGCTAGGGCACTAGTCACATACACCAGGGCCAGCAGGTTCAAACCTGGCCCAGGCCTGCCAAACAATAACAACTACAACAACAACAACAACAAAAATAGATGGGCAATATGTGGGCACCTCCCAGCTACTTGGGAGGCTAAGACAAGAGAATTGCTTAAGTCCAAGAGCTGGAGTTTGCTGTAAGCTGTGACACCATGGCATTCTACCGAGGGCAACATAATGAGACTCTGTCTCAAAAAAATTAATTAATTAAAATAAAAAATTAAAATTAAAAAAAAAGAAAGAAAAAAGAAACTCTGCGGGGCATAGTGGCTCACGCCTGTAATCTTAGCACTCTGGGAGACAGAGGCAGAAGAATCACTTGAGCTCAGGAGTTTGAGACCAGCCTCAGCAAGGGTAAGACCTCATCTCTACTAATAACAGAAAAAATTACCCCAGTGTCATGGCAGGCGTGTGCAGGCCCAGCTACCGTGTTTCCCCAAAAATAAGACCTACCCAAAAAATAAGCCCTAGCAGGATCTTTATGCATTTGTTAAATATAAGCCCTACCCCAGTAATAAGACCTAGTGATAGGCATGGCTATGCAGCATAGCCACGTCATGCATTTCGGCACAGAGCGGTAAGGGAGACTGGAATACCTTTTATCTGCCACAGCTCCTTTCTCCGAGCTGTTCGCACTTGCGCAGGTGCACGTGTGGTAACTGCGGTCGCAGGCATCCTATTGCGCACGTGCAAACAGCAAGTGGAAAGGAGTTCACACTTCACTGGCGCCAGCCCCACCAACAAGGCGGGGGTCCCCCTGTCAGGTTCCAGAAGAAGATGACTTAACTATATTTGAATAAATGTAGATTGTTGTATTATACTTAATAAAAATATGACATCCCCTGAAAATAAGCCCTAGTGAGTCTTCTTGAGAAAAAATAAATATAAGACAGTGTCTTATTGTCAGGGAAACACAGTACTTGGGAGACTGAGGCAGGAGGATCACTCGAGCTCAGGAATTTGAGGTTGCTAGGAGCTAGGCTGATGCCATTCTAACCCCAGCAACAGAGTAAGACTCTGTCTCAAAAATGAAACAAAACAAAACAAACAAACAAATAAAACTCTCATCTGGAAAATAAAAATAAGGATTACATTTATACGACTACATTTAATATATAGATATATATTCACTTCTCATTTTACCCACTGGGAAATGAAAGATAAGTGGGAAATTCCTTCGGTGAGGTCACTTACAGAGCACATAAAATAGGAAACAGCTCCACCACCATGCTTTCAAACCTAAACGATCCTTCAAACTGAGCAACATCATTAAGACAAGTCTTTTAAAGAATCTTAGCCAACTCACCTAGGTAATCTGGGTATGTTCCATAGGCAAACAGGTTCAGCAACTGCAAATAAGCAGCATTAGCTCCTTCTGCAAGCTGAAAAGGGAAAAAACAGTTCACAGACCAATCACTGTAGTATTCAAATAGGAGACAGGTGATCACATGCTAAATATGCCATGGCCATTTATTATGAACTGTTTGACTAGTTGGTCTCTGAGGTTCCTTCCAAGTCCTATTCTTTAGGAAAAAATAAATAAGATTATTAAAGCCCCAAATTTAATTTTTCTCCATTAGGAGTATGTTTTATACTCCAAATAGCATACCCAAGTAACTACTTCTCTCTCTCACTGTTTGCATGCGCACCTGAGTGTGCACACACACACAAAGCATTAAGCACTGGAAGCAGTTCAAGTTTTCTCAGGAGTCCCATTGCATTAAAACAAAGACTAGGGCATGGCGCCTATAGCTCAACCAGCTAAGGCGACAGCCACGTACACCTAAGGTGGCGGGTTTGAATCCCCAGCCCGGACCCACCAAACAACAATGATGGCTGCAACCAAAAAATAGCCGGGCGTTGTGGCGGGCGCCTGTGGTCCCAGCTACTTGGGAGGCTGAGGCAGGAGACTTGCTTGAGCCCAGGAGTTGGAGGTTGCTGTGAGCTGTAATGCCACGGCACTCTACCCAGGGGGACAGCTTGAGGCTCTGTCTCAAAACAAACAAACAAACAAACAAACAAAGACTAGGCCAGGTGCAGTGTAATCCTAGAACTCTGGTAGGCTGAGGTAGGAGCTTAAGCTTAGTTCGAAACCAGGCTAAGCAAGAGTGAGACCCCATCTCTACTAAAAATAGAAAAACTCGAGGTGGGTGGATTGCTGAGCTCAGGAGTTTGAGACTGGCCTGAGCAAAAGCAAGACCCCCATCTCTAAAAATAGCCACGAATTGTAGCAGGTGCCTATAGTCCCAGTTACTTAGGAGGCTGAGGCAAATGAATCGCTTGAGACCAGGAGTCTGAGGTTGCTATGAGCTATGATGCCACAGCACTCTCCTGAGGGCAACAAAGAGAGACTGTTTCTTTTTTGAGACTGCCTCAAAAAAATAAACAATTAAAAAAATAGAAAAACTAAGGTAAGAGTATAGCTTGAGCCCAAGAATTTGAGGTTGCTATGAGCTATGATAATGCTATGGCACTCAACTGAGAGCAACAAAATAAGACTATCAGCTCAGCACCTATAGCTCAGCAGCCAGGGCGCCAGTCACATACACTGGAGCTGGAAGGTTTGAATCCAGCCTGGGCCTACCCAACAACAATGACAACTACAACCAAAAAATAGCAGGGTGTTGTGGTGGGCACCTGTAGTCCCAGCTACTTGGGAGGCTGAGGCAAGTGAATTGCTTAAGCTCAAAAGGCTGAGGTTGCTGTGAGCTGTGACGCCACAGCACTCTACCCAGGGCGACATAGTGAGACTCTGTCTCCAAAAAAAAAAAAAAAAAAAAAAGACTACCGCAAAAAAAAAAAAAAAACCCAAAACGAAAACAACAACAACAAAAACAAAGACTGAAGCAGCCCTGTCTACACACAAACTTGACAGGTATAGCATTAACCACTATTAATCCAAACTAAACAAAGCTTAGGGTTAGTTCCAAGTTTCAGGACTACATACAGACTATGAACCCTAAGAGAGATTAGCACAGAATCAGGTATGATAGAAAGCCAGGCTGGAACAGGAAACCAGGATATAAAGCGGACCCAAATAAAATTTTTCATTAAAATTACTCTCTTCACTGTTGCTGATGGCAAAGAACCATCTGTAGAAGGAAAACGAAAGAGCCACTGTTCTGCCCAGAACTAATTGCTGTCAATTACCTTAACTGGGTGGGTTTTCTGACTCACAAACATGCTCCTGTTACTCTTCCAACTTACCAAATTCAGTAAAGTCTAACCAGGAATAACAAGTGGTATTCTGCACACACTAATAGCAACACTACTTAATTTTAGCCATTTTTTCAAAAAAGGTTTCAAGAACTGCATTCATAATTACCCGATCACTGAAAGGCAAAGACAACTAGCATATTCCCAGCTCACATGTGGAAAAACACAAAACATGGGAAGATAAAGGTGATTTGCCAACTCCTCTGTGAGAATTCCAGCATCCTAATACCTCAATGTACCCTCTCAGGTTATCATGAACCTCCTAAGATCCCTAAATCAGAGGTGTAAGAGACCTGGTAATGCCCATCAAATCTAGCTTCTATCTTTCAAGCAGACAATTACAAAGCTAGCTAGAATAGACTGTTTTCTCTAGAGCAGATTCTCTAAAAACTTCTCCCACCGGCCTAAATCAGTAAGTTCTTTCAGCTTTAATTTTCATCCATCTCATCTTAGCCAGCTTTCCAAGTTATAAAACAACTACCTGGCATATTCATTCAGACTTTTCATGAACTTGAAGGAACATATTACCTTTGAGTACCTCCTCTGTTGAAAATAAACCCAGATCATTTCAAGGCAGTTCTCAAAGCTCCCTCACAGAATTCATTTTCCACCTCTGATAAATTTTTACTGAAAGCCTACTGTGTGTTAGGTCATGTATTCAGCTCTAAGGAAACAATGGCAAGCACAACAGAGCTTACAGTTTAGCAAGCAAGACTAACATTAAATAAAAATCTACAATTAAAAGGTAAAAGTGGCTCTTTTCATCTCTGGCCATCATGAAGAGAAGCCACGTGTGGGCATTTGCAATGAATGGCTGTAGGGAACTGGTACAGTTTCCTGATCAAGAAGAATAAGGAGAACTTTGGAACCAAGCCTAATAACCTGAAAGCCTGCTACTCCCTTCTCTCACAACTGACTGATTCACCCCCAACAACTGTTAAAACTGGCTGTGGGGTGAAGCTAGCAGCAAGACAGCAAAGGTGTCATAGTGGTCATAAAGGTGATGAACCTCCCAGTAATAGCTGCCCACTCCTACAAGTAAGCCACTATCAACAAGAATACCAGGGCCACTCTAAGTAGCATCCAGCATATGGTCTGCAGGGAGTGCCATCACCTGGATCTGGGCATAGTGGTTACCCGTAAGAGCCAGCACCATCTGCACAGACACAAGCCTATGATGGTAAAGAGGAAAGAGACCCACCCCACCAACCCACCAAAAATTCCTGCAAAAAGCAATAGAGATGTTCACAGACTTTTCTCAAATAAAAAATACTTAAAAGTGGGAAGCAGAGGTTTAAAAAGTAGCAGCTGCTTTACATCTCTGTTCCATCTGGTCATTCTTCAACAGATCTTCTCATTTCTGAAGCACAATCACCAAAACTGGATGTCCAGGGCTTTAATAACAACAATCAAAAAACAAGCAAACAAAGCAAAATGGATTACTTCCCAACTTTTCATGTCAAATTTTTTAACATGTCGACTTTAGCACAATATCACCCTTTTCCATAAGAACAATATACCCCTATTAGTGTCAATCTCATGTTCAACAGCAATAAGTCTTCTGTGCATGTCCCTGATCCATCTTCCTGATCTATACTGCACTAGAGGTCTTTTGTCCTTAAAAATGCCTGAAACCACCCTATCAAACATCAGTCCATGCTTATAGCACTACATTTCTAATTTATCAGGATCAGTGACATTTTTACTACCTTTTTTTATTTTTATTTTTTGAGACAGAGTCTCACTATGTCACCCTTGGTAAAGTGCTGTGGCATCACAGCTCACAGCAACCTCAAACTCTTGGGCTCAAAAAATTCTCTTGCCTCCACCTCCCCAGTAGCTGGGACAACAGGCACCTGCCACAATGCCTGGCTGTTGTTGTTGTTATTATTATTGTTTGGCAGGCCCAGGCCGGGTTCGAATCCACCAAACCCAAATCCACCAGCCCTGGTGTATGTGGCCAGCACCCTAGCCGCTAAGCTATAGGCTCTGAGACGTTTTTACTATCTTTCACATTACTGGCAACACAATCTAATTTTACCCAAGTTCAGATGAAAACACTAAGTGAAATGAGCCCAAGATACCATCCTTAATCTCTTTCCCTGCCCCCTAATTCCCATCTCTCCCTCAAAAGGGTACCTCACAGGTCCATAATACTTTAGCACTGAAGTTCTTTGGAAACCTGGAGAATCAAAGAAAGGCTTAGAACAAAGACAGAGAAAATGTTTGGAAACCACTCTTACCTCCTGCACATTAGACAGCTCTAGCAGTTCTCCAAAAACATATACTCCAGGAGCCTCCAACACCTGGCTTATGAGAGCAGTGAGGGCTGAGCCACTGGTACCTTTGGCTAGTAAAATAAATTGTTCCAGGAGGTTACTTGAGGGTTTCTGTTCACCTGCCATCCTCTGGCCTTGAAATCTGTCCAGAAGAAAAATGTGTCAGTCATTCTCCCTTTTCATTTGCAAAGGCTATGTTGACTTAATGCTGGATCAGACACCAAAGTATTTTTACAGTTTTCTTTTTTTTTTTTTTTTTTT